AGGACAACTTAGAGAGAGGCCCCTCCCACCTAGACAGGGAACACATGATCCACATATTATAAAATGCCCACACTATCACGGGTCCCTCGGTTTTGTGTTTCCTCCGGCCAAATAGAACCACATCTCATTTGTTGTTTTTGCTTCCTATCAGCCCATCCTGCTAGGTGGTAGGGGCTTTTTAGTTACAACATTCCCTTTTAACAGGAGTAGGGATCCTGGGGAACAGTTTACTTCTAGGTCAGCAGACCTGCAGGTTAGTCCTGCAAACTGGGGACCCCCTCTCTGTATTGATCCACGTAACACCTACAGGGGAAGGTGGATTACTGCCCCTATTGATGAACAGTGATGGGTACCTGTGAGCTTAATAGTTCACCCAGTCTAGATATTCAACCTGTGTGGTAGCACATCAGCCACCGGAGTGAACCTGACATCCTCTTCTGTACTCGGGGTGTCATCACTTCCGTGCTGTGTGTGGGTGTGGGGGTGGTGTGTTTGTGTGGTGTAGGTGTGGGTGTGTGTTGTGTGTGTGTGGAGTGCTTTACTGCCATTCAGGAGAAGCCTTGTATTTTTAGCATTGAATAAAAGACCTCCTTTGATTAACAAAGGTGGAAATTGTTATCCATCCTCCTCTCCACCTCAGCAAATCACAACTCATAAAAATAGAAGGCATCTCCTGAAGAGATGTTCAGCCCAACTAAACTGTTTAATTGCAGGCTACAGATCGGGAAGTCACCCATACTGCTGAAAAAAATAATCCATATATAATTTCTGAAAACAGGCGGAGATCTGGAATTGAGGAGATTCCCTACTAATTTTCATAAATCATCCGATAACCCGAGTTCTTTATTTGTGCTAATTTGAATACGAAATAAAAAGCAATAATATGCAAAAATATTAATAATATAACTAAAAATATAATAGGTGATGATAAATAACCAAATCAAAATAGCAATTCAGTTATCTACTCAAAAAGAGTGGTTACAAATTGAAACCAGCAAATATTAATGAATTAGGACCAGCTGTCTCAAAATGTAGCGTAGGAAACGATCAGTAACTGATTAGACAACTGACAAATGCTATGCAAATTGACCATGGGATCTCTTTACAACCAGATATTCAAAGCTCACATTGGTATGAACTGATTTTGAATACCATACACAGGGCAGTCCAGAATCTGAGGACAAATGGACCAAACTAAACTATTGACTAGAAGCTGAAATCAACTTCGGGGATATTCCAAAGAGAATTCACACCCCCCCCCCCCAAAGATTAAACCGTTTAGCTGGAGATATAAGGCAAGGACAAATTGCCTGCAGAAAAATGAAAGTTATACATTATGCGTGTGTGTGTGTTCTAACATTTATCACCCCAAAAACTTAGGTGGGCAAACCTTATCTTGCCTAAATGTGACATCATTCATGGTGTAAAAAATAAAAATGCAATTGGCGCAAGAGAATTTGTAGTGGACATAACGTTCACTCAGCAAACCTTAAACAAAATAATCCAGTAAACAGAAATTAAGATATATAATCATACATGCCAGTAATAAAGGGGCAACAAGTAGACGATGCAGCTTTAGTGGTGGGGGGAGGGGGATAGGGAAAGGAGGGGAAAAAAGGCCTTGTGATGCAAACAGTACTGGATTGAGATAGATGGGATATATATGTGTATACATATATATACAACGCTGCAATGTAGACACCGTCGTGAGGCTTGCACTTTCTAGAGTAAACCGGACTCTGTGGTAAATGGAGAAGAAAGAGAAGTGCGCCAGACTAAGTGCAGTATGAATATAAAAGTTTATTGCACACAAGATTATAAAAACTCACAAGACGTGGGTAGATATCAGGCATCAATATATAAGGAGGAGGATGTGATCTGTGCTGCACCTCACAAATGGATGGCTGTAATGCCAAGGTGTTGCGTGGCTGGCGCTGTAGGCGAGTCCCACAGGAGGAGGCGAGGATGGCAGGCGCAGTTGCTGGCTACGTTCTGATGTCATTTCCTGCCCGGTGGCCATCTTGGATGTGCCTCAAGCTGGCTACTGTACCCACGCTGATGTGAGAGATCAGCAGTGCCTGCCCTGGATCCCGGTTCTTTTCTGCGCCGCGACTCCCGGTTACTGCGCCTGCCATCCTCGCCTCCTCCTGTGGGACTCGCCTAGAGCGCCAGCCACGCAACACCTTGGCATTACAGCCATCCATTTGTGAAGTGCAGCACAGATGACATCCTCCTCCTTATATATTGATGCCTGATATCTACCCACGTCTTGTGAGTTTTTATAATCTTGTGTGCAATAAACTTTTATATTCATACTGCACTTAGTCTGGCGCACTTCTTTCTTCTCCATCATTCATGGTGTCATGTTCTTTACTAAAACTAGTTACCACTGACCTCTAACCTTCAGTTTGTTGGAATGCAAAAAACCTAAGAGGTAGTCGCTGTTTTGATAGGACTGGTTAGACAAACTAGGACCAGTTATTAGTGTACATATAAAGTGCAGCGCTTAAAAAAAAAAAAAAAAAAAAACAGTGAAAAAAATGTCCATATCATTACAAATAAAGAGAAGTCCCCAAAGGCTGTGATGAAACAGGAAAAATCCAAGGATAGCTCATGTGTCACCAACCACTTGCATAAAAAGCTTACCAGAGAGATATGACCCCCTGTTAAGAGTGGCCAATCTCTTTTTGTTGTATAACAACCTAGAAGACTGGAAAGCCAAATCCTCCTCTGGATCCCCAAGGGAGAAATGCCAAAGATCCTCCTACAATGATCCTTAGTTAGGGTAGTTATATCGCTCCGAATGGGACCCAAACACGTGATATAAAAAATGCAAAAGAAGATTGCTCCACATAGTGTAAAATCCTTAGAATAACATTTATTTCAAATATGGTTGCACTCACAGGATAGCAAACATAAATGAGCATGTACAAACGAAAAGATCAAATTCCTCCAGCATCCAAAATGGCCTCCGGTTGCGCATGCGTGGTAGCGTATGTACGTGGACTTTATTTGGAATGAGATGGACATTTTTTTTTTCTCACAAATTATTTTCATTGTTTGCAATTTTGCTAAACGCTGCACTTTTATACAGTGGGGCAAAAAAGTATTTAGTCAGCCCCCAATTGCGCAAGTTCTCCCACTTAAAAAGATGAGGAGCCTGTAATTGGCATCATAGGTAGACCTCAACTATGAGAGACAAAATGAGAAAAAAAAATCCAGACAATCACATTGGCTAATTTGGAAAGAATTTATTTGCAAATTATGGTGGAAAATAAGTATTTGGTCACCTACCAACAAGCAAGATTTCTGGCTCTCACAGACCTGTACCTACTTCTTTAAGAGGCTCCTCTGTCCTGCACTCATTACCATGTATCAATGGCACCTGTTTGAACTTGTTATCAGTATGAAAGACACCTGTCCACAACCTCAAACATTCACACTCAAAACTCCACTATGGTGAAGACTAAAGAGCTGTCGAAGGACACCAGAAACAAAATTGTAGACCTGCACCAGGCTGGGAAGACTGAATCTGCAATAGGCAAGCAGCTTGGTGTGAACAAATCAACTGTGGGAGCAATAATTAGAAAATGGAAGACATGCAAGACCATTGATAATCTCCCTCGATCTGGGGCTCCACGCAAGATCTCACCCCGTGGGGTCAAAATGATCACAAGAACGGTGAGCAAAAATCCCAGGACCACACGGGGGGGACCTAGTGAATGACCTGCAGAGAGCTGGGACCAACGTAACAAAGGCTACCATCAGTAACACACTACGCCGCCAGGGACTCAGATCCTGCAGTGCCAGATGTGTCCCCCTGCTTAAGCCAGTACATGTCTGGGCCCATCTGAAGTTTGCTAGAGAGCATTTGGATGATCCAGAAGAGGATTGGGAGAATGTCATATGGTCAGATGAAACCAAAATAGAACTGTTTGGTAGAAACACAACTCGTCGTGTTTGGAGGAGAGAGAATGCTGAGTTGCATCCAAAGAACACCATACCTACTGTGAAGCATGGGGGTGGCAACATCATGCTTTGGGGCTGTTTCTCCGCAAAGGAACCAGGGCGACTGATCCATGTACAGGACAGAATGAATGGGGCCATGTATCGTTGAGTGCAAACCTCCTTCCATCAGCAAGGGCATTGAAGATGAAACGTGGCTGGGTCTTCCAACATGACAATGATCCCAAACATACTGCCCGGGCAACGAAGGAGTGGCTCCGTAAGAAGCATTTCAAGGTCCTGGAGTGGCCTAGCCAGTCTCAAGATCTCAACCCCATAGAAAACCTTTGGAGGGAGTTGAAAGTTCGTGTTGCCCAGCGACAGCCCCAAAACATCACTGCTCTAGAGGAGATCTGCATGGAGGAATGGACCAACATACCAGCAACAGTGTGTGCCAACCTTGTGAAGACTTACAGGAAATGTTTGACCTCTGTCATTGCCAACAAAGGATATATAACAAAGTATTGAGATGAACTTTTGATATTGACCAAATACTTATTTTCCACCATAATTTGCAAATAAATTCTTTCCAAATCAGCCAATGTGATTGTCTGGATTTTTTTTCTCATTTTGTCTCTCATAGTTGAGGTCTACCTATGATGCCAATTACAGGCCTCTCTCATCTTTCTAAGTGGGAGAACTTGCACAATTGGTGGCTGACTAAATCCTTTTTGCCCCACTGTATGTACACTATTTTGATTGCCTGGTATCCAGGTGTAGTGTTCAGTTGCTATTTATTTGCACTTTATATTTTTATCGCAGATTTTCAATTTTCTTTAATTCTAGGACCAGTTCTTGAAGGTCAAATAATTCAGTTATTTGATACCTACAGTAAGGGTTATTCGGTTATTCTTGTCTCTGTTAAGTCTTGATAGTGTTTTTTTTTTTTTTTTTTTTTTTTTTTTTTTTTTTTTTTTTTTTTTTTTTTTTGGTTTGTTTCTTTACATTAATCATATGGTGCTTTTTTTTAATTTTCTCTATTGTAAGAGATCAACATGTTGGATATTTTAACAACACCTTCAATGGCGAAACCAAAGCAAGACTATTTCCGCACCCCAGGACAAGTTCTCTCTCTTATTAGTTCCTTGGGATTTGTAAGTATTTTTTTTTTCTTTTTAACAAACATCTTAATACTAAAAGATTTTCGATAGTATTACAGCTTGTTGGATGTTTTCTTTGTACAAATTTAGCTATTCAAGCAGGTCATATAATGTGGAATTCCAACCCAATAGCTAAGTACACAGAGTTTTTTTATGTTTTATAATGTTTTTGTAGTTCTGCTCGACTGGTATTGTTTCACATCCACCTCTGCCATAAAGAATAACTTGGCTGGTAACACAACTGTACACTTATTCTGCTTCATAGCTTTCCTTGCAGCTCTAGGTAACTTGATACATGTTAAAGTGATTCTAAAGGTAAAAAAAAAACAACTATATATATATATATATATATATATATATATATATATATATATATATATATATATAATTAGACATGTCATACTTACCTGCTCTGTGCTATGGTTTGGCTCAGGGCAGCCCAAACCTCCTCTTCATGGGACCTTTGCTGGCGCTCCTGTCCAGTGAGGAGAGAGACCTTCTCTCATGCACACTGCTGGATCGAGGTCAGGCTCAGGTACGTATAAAGGGAGGGCTGGTCGGAGAGCTGCTTTCAGAAGGTAAAAAAAAAAAACCTTGTAACCTTTATTTGGTTTGTGATTATGTGCAAAACGGAGACACCCTTTGCAACCAATCGACTTCTTTCTCTTTCATCACCTGGCGACCGTGGCATATTATTTAAGTATTAGTTGCATCATATTTGTCGATGAAGACAGAGAAGAATGCTATCTTTCAAAGATGCCATCTCCTTTCTAGCTGTGTTGTTGGGTGGCCATGGAGAGAGGAGGGGTACCCTGTTGGACCAGCTAGCACATATGAAGATGGGGCAAAGTACTACATGTGCTATGTCCTCGGGAGCATAACACATTAATACAAATGGACGCAAGACTTTGTAAAGGAGAAGTATGGGTATTAAAAAGTACAGTGGGGATCGAAAGTTTGGGCACCCCAGCTAAAAATTTGTATTAGTGTGCTTAAAGAAGCCAAGGAAAGATGGAAAAATCTCCAAAAGGCATCAAATTACAGATTAGACATTCTTGTAATATGTCCACAAAAGTTAGATTTTATTTCCATCATTTACACTTTCAAAATAACAGAAAACAAAAAAATGGCGTCTGCAAAAGTTTGGGCACCCTGCAGAATTTATAGCATGCACTGCCCCCTTTGCAAAGCTGAGACCTGCCAGTGTCATGGATTGTTCTCAATCATCGTCTGGGAAGACCAGGTTATGTCAATCTCAAAGGTTTTAAATTCCCAGACTCATCTGACCTTGCCCCAACAATCAGCACCATGGGTTCTTCTAAGCAGTTGTCTAGAAAACTGAAAATAGTTGACGCTCACAAAGCTGGAGAAGGCTATAAGAAGATAGCAAAGCGTTTTCAGATGTCAATATCCTCTGTTCGGAATGTAATTAAGAAATGGCAGTCATCAGGAACAGTGGAAGTTAAAGCAAGATCTGAAAGACCAAGAAAAATATCAGACAGAACAGCTCGCAGGATTGTGAGAAAAACAATTCAAAACCCACGTTTGACTGCATGATCCCTCCAGAAAGATCTGGCAGATACTGGAGTTGTGGTACACTATTCCACTATAAAGAGATACTTGTACAAATATGGTCTTCATGGAAGAGTCATCAGAAGAAAACCTCTTCTACGTCCTCACCACAAAAATCATCGTTTGAACTTTGCAAATGAACATATAGACAAGCCTGATGCATTTTGGAAACAAGTTCTGTGGACCGATGAGGTTAAAATTGAACTTTTTGGCCGGAATGAGCAAAGGTACGTTTGGAGAAGAAGGGGCACAGAATTTAATGAAAAGAACCTCTGTCCAACTGTTAAGCATGGGGTTGGATCAATCATGCTTTGGGGTTGTGTTGCAGCCAGTGGCACAGGGAACATCTCACAAGTAGAAGGAAAAATGGATTCAATAAAATGTCAGCAAATTTTGGATGGTAACTTGATGCCATCTGTGAAAAAGCTAAAGTTAAAGAGAGGATGGCTTCTACAAATGGATAATGATCCTAAACACACCTCGAAATCCACGGGGGATTACATCAAGAGGCGTAAACTGAAGGTTTTGCCATGCCCTTCACAATCTCCTGACCTCAACATAATTGAAAATCTATGGATAGACCTTAAAAGAGCAGTGCGTGACAGACAGCCCAGAAATCTCAAAGAACTGGAAGACTTTTGTAAGGAAGAATGGGCAAAGATACCTCAAACAAGAATTGAAAGACTCTTGGCTGGCTACAAAAAGCGTTTACAAGCTGTGATACTTGCCAAAGGGGGCAGTACAAGATATTAACTCTGCAGGGTGCCCAAACTTTTGCAGACGCCATTTTTTTGTTTTCTGTTATTTTGAAAGTGTAAATGATGGAAATAAAATCTAACTTTTGTTGACATATTATAAGAATGTCTAATCTGTAATTTGATGCCTTTTGGAGATTTTTCCATCTTTCCTTGGCTTCTTTATGCACATTAATACAATTTTTTAGCTGGGGTGCCCAAACTTTCGATCCCCACTGTGTATATATATTCACCTCTATGTTGCAGCATCAGTGTGATGCTGCAGCTGTCCAACGCTGGCTCTAAGACCAAGGAATAAGCTATCACATGACCCCTGACTGCTCAGTTCTTGGTCTGCTCAGAGTGGAGAACAGTGACTATCAGTCACCGCTTTCTTGTCTGCCCCTTCAGTGCTCACTGGATTTCTGAGCTAGAGAGCAGGCAGATGGTGCTGGCTTTGGCTCTCAGCCGCATGCTAAGAGTTGGAGCCAGCTGTCAGTCAGGCAGTAATATAGTTCAATATGGTCAGGATCCTTCCAGAGGCTGGAGGTTCTGCCATATCCGCTAAAAACAGGCAAAAGCTTGCTATCAGCTGCCTCTGGGTCACAGGAGAGCAAAAGTGCTTTCCTTTGATGCAGAAGAGAAGTATGGCCAAAAATGCTTTGGCCATACTTCTCTTTTTCAGAAGAAATAAAATGAACATTTTTAAGACAGTATATAATAAAGAGTTATACAAGTAGATTCTCTGTTTAGTATTTTACAGTGTGACTAGATCTGATTTACTGCTAAATATGCTTTGTCATGCTAGTTTTACTTTAAATACTTAAAGTGGAAATTCACTTAAAAAATGAAGTCCTGCTGGTGCGCTCACTTTCCCCCCTGCCCTCACCTAGGTGAGGTTGATGTCCATTGTTCCATCTCCCCTTCCCTTTCACAGCCTCCTGTGGACACACGTCCCAGAAGCATGCTGGACCATTCACAAAGCACTTTGCAAGCTTGCAAATCCACAGTGTGGAGCTGGCTGTGGTTCCTCTGGAAGTCACAGCTGGCTTCCATATACAAGATGCAGTGGGATGAAGAACCGGCTTTGGGAAGACAGCACTGGACTCCAGGCACTGGTAAGTACCTTGTTTTTAATAGTTGCCAGCTACAGGTAAAAGACTGAAAGTGGTTCTAAAGCCTGGATGGTTTTTTTACCTTTAAAGTGGAGTTCCAGACGTTTTTGTGTTTATTAAACGTCAGCAGCTACAAAAACTGTTGCTGCTGACTTTCACACTTGCCTGTCCCGGGGTCCAGCAATGTATTCACCTGCGCAGTCCCTTCTCTCCTTCTGTCCTCCATGGTGCTGGCATCTCTACTGTGGGCACCAGGCTGTGACAGCTTGCGGCTTCACAGCCTGGTGCCCACTGCACATGTGCGAGCTGTGCCGGGCCTCCTGATTTGGTCCGACAGTTCCCAGGAGACAGCAGGAGCAAGGAGGGGCCACCGCTGCAGACTGAGCTGGAAGTGGGAGCAAGTACCTGCAAAGCCAGGTACCCGCAATATGGCCGTGGAGTGGGGAGGGAGCCAAATAAGTGGAGCTTACACTGCATTGCCACTGCAAAGCCACGTGCCTGTGGCACACGGCTTTCTTTGGTGTCAAAAAAAGAAGACCTAAGAAGAGGAGGTTTGGGGGCCCTCTGTGCAAAACAATTGCATAGACCAGGCATATATAACATGTTTGTTATTTTAATTAAAATAAAACATTATATATATATTTCTTGTAAGCATTAGCACTTACACTGTGTTTTGTTTGGTTAACAGAACTCTCCAGTTCGAGGCAAGATGCAGACCTGTGCCTCCTCAGTGACACCAGTATTTAATGAAACCTCACGGGGGAATTCCACACCAATTGTAATGAAGAATAAAGAAAATTCAGCGAAAGCCAGCAAGCTTCTTATATCATGTGAGTATCCTCAGGTTGCTTTCACACTGATCCATTTTTCTTCTGCTTTTGCGTTTAAAAAAAAAAACCAAACAAACAGAAGAAAAGCGGAAGAAAAGTGTGTGACCATGTAATCCTATCGAAAACTTCACACTGGTCCATTGCAGGTCTGCTGCATTTTTTTTACAAAATCCTGCATGCTGCGTTTTTGGTGCAGTTGAGTAAAAAAAAAAACAAAAAAACAACAAAATGCACAGCAAATACATTAAAAACGCAGTCACGGTATTGCTATGGATCGCTGTGAAGGTATCTTTACGTCAGAGCTGATGTCAGCTTTGCGCTTGCAGCTAAATCAGTACAGCTGTGTTGATTATTTGTGCACTGTATGGTGGTGTTAGTTTTCTTCTCTGCGGATCAGAGAAACCCACATATTCAGAAAAGTGAAAAAGTGCTGATTCATCATTTCTCCTAATGGGAACATCTTTTGTGATCATCTTTGCTGTCCTGTTAATCATTTAGCAAGATGAATTGTTATAAATCTCCTTGCTTCTTGTTAGGAATGTGAGAGAACTTAAATGTCTGCAATCTGGGCACAGCTGCATTTGTGGGAAGGACCCTGTTGGCTTGCACGGGATGCACATGTTCATGTAGGCAGTCCCATTCATGTCTATTGGGAGGCATTGGCAGAATGAATGCATGTGCTGGTCCTAGTTTGATAGCCATGCAGGTACATTTCCCTGAACACGCTGTCTTCATTTAGGGACATGCACCCACACCTTCACGGCTATAAACTCAGAGCCAACAGCTGTGTCCATGCAGCCACTGCATTCCAGTAGACCTGAATGGGACTGCCTATGAACACATACACCGAACACCTGTGACTCGCTTGCAAGCAAAGATGGCTGTTTCAACAGATGTATGTCTGTGTGAATGGGGCCCAGATGTCTTTAAAAAGCACCTATCCAAACAATGGATATTCATGTCTTTACATATTATCAAGCATGTATGCATAAGTAAGCCTGTGTGAATGAGACCCTACTTCAAAGGCTGAGCTTGTCCATGCCTTGTGACAGGGAAGGCCCTACCTTGCCATGTTTCTGTCTCATGTCTGTGTGAAAGTAACAACACGTTCCGTTTTTTAGTTTGCGTGTTTATAATTTTGAGTACCTTGCGGATAAGCTGTATCTTTTTAATTTTTCCACAGATCCCGAAGTCAGTATGTTCAGCCCTAGTATGCCAGTGAAGTGCCTCACTCCAAACCTCTTGAAGTCTAGAGCACAGCTGGGCACCTCCAGTACCAGCAGCCAGTCCCATTTATGTCTGTCCAGCATAGAGTCTGATTACTGCAGCAGTCCAAAATGGGAAAATCCCAACCAGGTCAGTACTGTCAGTACATTATTAGGAAGTATGCTGTATGGGATATTATGCAGCATGGGCTTAAAGCTTCTCTAAACCAAAAACAAAATTGTCATTTATTGCCGCTTACCTGCCGCACGACAGTGTGGCTATATTCCTTTGCTCCCCCCTCTTTACATTCACCTGGTAATTCTGAAAATTCAGTTTTGTTCCTGGGTGACCACGCTCACTCAGGCCACTGTATCTATGAAGTGAGACATTGTTGCTACCTTGCTACATAGGCTGAATTTCAAACTTGTCTGCCTTTTGTTCATACCAGGGCATGTAGAGGAGAGAAGTTTACAAAAGAAAGATAGTACTCTAGTTCAGCTCACATGAAGTGACAAGGACAATAGAGTTCTTGCAAGATCAGGTATTTTCTGTACTTTGATGAAAATGCTCTTAAACATAAAGCAAATCCGAATCTATTGATTTTGACAATTTCCCAAAATGATTGCATTCAATACATGCTGTGAGTAACTATCACAGTTGCTTGTGCTCTCAGCAAAATTGTCAAGCCATTAAATGGCTGGTGTCATACCTATTCACATGTGCAACACCATGGAAACTGCATATTAAACAGAGGCTAATACAGCAACTTCTTTGGTTATAAGCAAGAGGTGTTTAGTTCCTCTTTAAAGCATATCTAGAGCCAAAGTGTTTTTCATTTTGGATAGGCTAGAGGAGGGTTAAACCTGCTGTCAGTTTTTTGTTTGTTACTGAAAGAGGTGTCCCCATTGGAGAATTTTCCTTCTGTTCCTGTTCTGGTGGCAACTTAAAAATCTATCCTCCCTTTTATTTCCTGTGACATGGTTGAGTACAGTTGGAGAGCATAAGATCTCCCCAAGGTGGGGGACGGACAGCTATATAAATCTAGCAGTGGTTTCAAGTCCTCACCCCTCTATAAAATCTAAATAAAGTTTTGTTTTTAGTTATACCAAAGAAAAAAACAAAAAAAACGAATGTATCCACCACATCTAAGGACTGGTAAGCTGTACCATATTACATAAGGCTGGTGATCACATTCCAGTGGCCAGGGAAGTTATTTACTAAAACTGGTGCGCTCAAAATGTGGTACAGTTCTGCATAGAAACCAGTTGGTGTCCAGGTTATATTGCCAAAGCTTAATTGAGCAAGCTGAAGTTAGAAGCTGATTAGCTACCATGTGAAAGGGATTTGTGCTTCTAATGATCACCGGTAGGTTCCGGTCCCATTGGGCCCAAGAGACTGTGTTCTGGAAGGAAGAAATTAGCAGGCACACAGGTTTCCAGAAGACAATCTGAATCTTTATTCGTAGATTCTTCTTCCCTTTTTTTTTTTTTTTTTTTATTGTAACAAAGAAAACCATACAATAGGATTTCGATGGATACTTGTCAAGGCTGTGAACGTGAGATTTCTCAGACCTTGAAATCCGTTACAAGTAACCAACAGTTATTTTCCCATGGGGGACACACACACTCGCTCACACACGTCACACGTCTGCTATATACTGCTGAGAAGAAAAGATATTTAGCAGTTTATATTTACTATAATAATTGCCAATTTCCATGTTCTGTGTACTGTGGGAGACCAGATAAAGTGAATGCAGGGTCCTCAGTTTAATAACACTTTAATATAGAATTCACAAATCTGCCAATAAGTCCATTCAGGCCAGATGTGTTTTAAATGCTATGTAGTTCAATAAATGTCCCCCTTTCAGCTGTTAATTTGCAGCGACTGGAATTAAAATGTATCCCAGGTTCAGTCATTTGCCTATTTTTTTGCTCTGTTTTGTTTCTTAGAATCCAGATGGGCCACCATACTTAAGTTCCAGCCACTTGAAGAACAGTATGACAGAGAAATCACTGAACAAGATCCATATCGGGAAAGTGGCCAAGAGTATGAAAGATTTAGAATCTGCTATTTCCCCTATTGTTCGTCGCAGAACATACAAGAAATTTGACAATCCAAATGATGCCAGTGAACTAGAGGAAACTCCGAACGGTGGTATAAATGCCAAGGGTTTTATCCGAAAATGTCTCTACGATCTTGGCACACAAGAAGAAAAGGAGAACTTTGGTGCAAATGAGGAAGGACTCAAACATTTGCCAAGATCTCCAGAATTTCCTCCATGGCTTGTTAGTTCCTCACTGGATCCTTTGAAGGACATTGAAGACGAAAATGCAGAAAGACCTGGAATCAAAAGAAGTTTTTCAGAAGTTGAGACAAGCCCTGAGCAAGAAGGAATGGAGAAGAAAAATAATTCCCAGTATAAACGTGCATATAAAATATCGGACATGCAGGTGAACCCCAGTACCGGTTTAACCATGGAAATTGAGGCTCTCTTTCTTAGTGATCTGCAAAAAGATGTTGTGAATAGCAAGAATCTGGATAATGAGTTATTACCTGCCCCGCAGACTCCAGAGAAGCTGTGCTCTGTGAACCCAGTGGCTAAGAATTTGCTGTGTGAGCTAGATGAAAACTGTGAGCAGGCAGAGGAGAGCTTGGATGCTAAAGCTGAGATCATTGGGGCCTGGAGCTCGAGTCCAAACAGGGGTTCTGATCCTTCCCCTAATTCATCTCTAGAAAAAGAACTTTCTGATGTGGATAAAAGCATGAATGAACTTTCTGATGTGGATAAAAGCATGAAAGAACTTTCTGTTGATTCACAAAATGATGTTGGTGAGGGCTCATCTCCAGAAGATCCCAGTATAGTTGAAACGGTTAAACTTGACCCAAGAGTGCATGAAAGCAGGGGGCATGCTCTAGCCGACATCACCAATGAGGCCTGGGCATCTCCAGCCACCACCAGGGTAGTACCAAATTCCAAAAAGCGAGCTGCGGGTAGCATTTAGAAGCTATAACAGCTCCATTAATGCTTCACACATATCAGAACCTTCCAGAGTGAGTGTTGGATCAATGGACAAAATACATTTTTCTCTAGGTTGTACAGGATCCTACCCATTGGCTGTTACTCCAGCACAAAAGGACAGGACTCTCAAGAGTTTCCAGGTATATAATGCATAACACTAGTAAAATATAGTTATTGAAATATTCAGTATATGGTACTTACTAAGGTAGTCTGCAGCCAAGTATGACATCTTTCAATTTAAATGAACCAAGGGACATTCCCATACATTTTGGTGTTATTTGGATCTAGCCATTGTTTCTGTACCTGGCAGTTCTGCTGGCAGTGCTCCATAAAATGTTAGCAGCAGTCTATTCTCCTTGGAAGAGAGGCAGCTATGCAAGTCATTGAATTCCAACTTAGGCTATTGGGGGCAGACATGCCTTAAAAAGGTCTGCTTATGTTGCAGCACACTCCAAAAAAAAGCCAAGTGAAGGAAAATGTACTCAAGTTGTGGAGCACTTGCCTTATAGAGGGTGACCTCCAATTGCTTTATCATGCAATCCCCGAGGATCCCAAACCACAAGAATACACTCTGCATCTGGAGTTCTCCCAGGATCCTATGGTGAGGCCCCACCCCACAAAGCTGATGTGTATATTTTTACATGTCTTTAAGAGTCGGTTCACATATATGTGGATTGGATGCAGTTTGAACCGCATCAAATCCGCATGACATGTGAAAAAACATTGCTTCCTATGGTGCCTGTTCACATCTGTCCGGTGCACTGGCGGTGTGGGTTCAGTGCAGTTTGGAAAGAGTCCTGTGTGATTTGCGTCAGGTGCGGATTACAGGCTATTGACTTCTATGGGTACCGTTTCTGAACCGCATATGTGTGAACAAGATAAAATCCTGAGCGAATCCTGTCCTGAACCTGATGTAAACCTGACATGAACCGCTGAACAGCTACTGTTTCAATTAGCAGTGAAACCTGAGTTTCAATCTGCATCACACATGTGAATCGGCACTAAGGGCTAGTTCACATTAGATGCAGTCCATTGTGTTTTTTTCTGCATGAAGAATGTATGCACAGTGTTTTCCATGTATTCCAAAGGCCCTAGTTCACACCAGTGCAGTCAGTTCTAGTCCGTTTCCGGTGCAGAAAAAAAAAAAGTAGTACATGCTGAATTTTTTCTGCACAGAACTGTACTGGAACATAGCAGACTGCATCAGAACAGCATTGGAATGGAGTGTGGTGTGAACTGTAATGAAAAACATATCCAAAATGCATCCAGAGTGCATTTTTATGCATGAACTGGCCCTGAATGTTTGTTTTTTTCTTAAAGGCTCACTTCACCTTTAGCAACATGTTAAATGTTTCTAAGCAACCTTTTCACCCCAAAAGTGCTGTGCCTGTACAGCCACATCATTCCTTCACAGAAATCTGTGACTGAATGAACTGCAAGTCTACCATCATGGTGGATTACCATGTAGTTCTCCATAACGTATGAGTACAGTAATTAGCACACTCATAGTCCATTGTCCATTCTTCCAGCTCTCCAGCTGGAAGCCCATACAGGCAGAGAGTTGGAGAAATAATTTGCAGGAGCCTGACATTGCACCCACAATCCACTGATCACAGGAGCAATGCTTTGCAGGATTATGTGAAAAAAATAATAAATGCACAATTTTGCAATTGCATTTGCAATTCTGCTTTTTTTTTTTTTATTTTTGTTTATTTTATAAAGGTGAACTTACTCTTTAAAAAGTTTTTACTAAGAGGTGCTTGCATCGAAAAGCAGACCTTGCTATTCAATTTAAGGTCTTTTTTTAGGGGCACACAAACCATATATTCATTCTTTAAAGCGGTCATAAAATCCACTATTTTATACCTACAGGTAAGGCTTTCCTGTAAGTACAGTAGATATCAATGACATTCTGTCGATTGAGAGGGCTGTGCTGCAACTGTGACTCCTGCACGCATATGTGGAGTGACGTCATCACGGCTCGGCTATTCAAATTGTCGGAGCTTGAGAACCCAAAAGGTAGACCAGGTTAGGTTGGAAGCCCTGTTAGCTGTGACAGCATTTCATTTTAAGACAGGCCTCTCATAATGTAACGACATTATCCTGCAGATGGACATTTTTTTTTTTTTTTTTGTGGTTTACTACCGCTTTAATTGGGGATTTGGTGGAAATTTTTAAAAAGGTGATTTGTATCAGCTAAGCTTCAATATTTAGACTCATTTACTTGGAGCAAGTATGCAGACCAGGATTTTTGATATTCCTATTCTTGAATAGGATTTTAGAAAGTATTGAGAACAGAGAAGAGCAAGAAGCTGGTATTTTTCTGGTGGTCCTAAATTGCAGTATAGATTTTTTTTTACGTTGGGACAGTTCTGAACACGAACACATTTGAATAGATCCGTAAGCCACCAAAAAAGTGCATCTCAAGCCAAACGTGTTTTCTTAGTTTTTGATAGAGTAGGGTAGAGTTAGAGTTGCTACTAGGAGTATTTAGTTGAAAACTCGGGGTGCCTGCTTGCAGTTTTTTAGTTCTTGTGTGGTGTCCCCAAGCTGAGGTGCTCTAATAAGCAAATTTTGACTTTGGAAAGGACCATCAATAACTGGAGCCCCAGGACAACACCCAGGCCATGTCCAGTTTCCATATTCCGGATGTAACATGTTATGACTGCACCGGCCTGTCGATCCCCCAATTTGACAGCACTCCTAACCCACGTGCGCTGCGCTGCACCTGCAGATCAATGTGAAAGCATCCTAATAACCCTAATATTATGCCTATTGCAAAAGCACAGCGTATGAGATGTTTAATACACTGACCTTTTCCTCTTCCAGCTTCTGCTGACATCACTCTAGTAAGGTCCCAGGGAAAATGCACTTGGTAATCATTCCGCCTGGGACAGGAGCCAGAGCTACAGAGGAAGCATTGGTCTATGCGGCTCCTGCTTCCTCCACAGCTGCTTGCTTCTTCCAGTGCCAGCTCCATGCATTCTGATGCTTTAGGATAGCAGGTCGGCAACCCGTTGACTGCTATCTGGGCTTGCCAGCTTCCCAGAGCATGCGCCCCCCTGGTTTAAGGATGTGGGCCACATCAGAGGGCTCTGGGGGCTACATGTGGCCCACAGGATGAGCACCTCTGCTATAGAGAGAACTTGCTAAAAACAATTTATATTAAGAATTTAATGAAAAATGCTTATGTAGAAGTTAACGTCCACAGGGACCTAAACATCTGATCACATAAATGTAGATCTTTAACTTCAATGTTTTCTTAGGGGCAGGCAGAGACACCTTACCGAACACCAAAGAGTGTGCGCAGAGGTGCAGCCCCAGCTGAGAATGAGAAAATCTTGGGAACACCTGACTATTTGGCTCCTGAGTTGCTACTGGGAAAACCACATGGTGAGTATCTTTCTTCACTGGAAGCTTTATTAGTGAGAAGAATGAACTGTTATCGGTAATCCTATAATTTAGTTCTGTTAGTCTGATGTGTGATACAAAACCAAGCAGAGCTCTGATTTTGGGCTTTAAACTTCTGGCATTATAATCCCAATGAGTAAAAAATAACCGTGTGCCCTGTAGTGCATGATATTCAATAATTGCTTAGCCATCATACCATATTCCCATATTTCACTGCATCAACATTCCCAGACAGACTATTTCTCCTGTATTTCCTTATCACTCAAGTACTGGTAAAGCAGAAGACTCTGCATAAAGGAGGAAAGGATGCAGCAATTGTGTGTGTGTGTGTGTGTGTGTGTGTGTGTGTTATACAGACTAGAAAAAGATGAGCTCCAAGAAGTTGCAAGAGACATACATGCAGCTCTGTGTTCATTATTGAATCATAAGCAGTATTAACCCAAACATTTAATATACTGCAGCTTAGCAATTTTTAAAGGTAGTGGTTGCATTATTTTTCTTTTTAGGCTCTTTTCCTTTTATTTTCACCTGTTTTTTTAACTGACCAAGCTGTCCAGCAAATTTTGGCAGTATTGAGAAAAACCATTTCTCACTGACAGGTACTTG